TTTGGGGTTTGGGGTTTGGGGTTTAGGGCTCCTATTGCACAAGACTTAGATGACCTGAGCATGTAACAATGGCATCCAGACTATCTCGCAGGGACTCGCATCATCCCGCCATCCTTTAATGCTTGTCACAGCGAGTTGGCTCAGGTACCCTAAACCCTAAACCCTAAACCCTAAACCCTGAACCCTGAACCCTAAACCCTAACCCTAAACCCTAAACCCTTTATTGCCTTGGAGCGGCTGTAGCACACTGTAGCATGGAATCGGTTCTGGTCTCCACATACAAGTTAGGATCCGCACTGCTTCGCATCGTCCTTGCCGATTTTCTTGAAGTGTTGCAAAGCTTGCTGCTAAAACAAGCCCCAATACACCTGAACCCTAAACTAAACCACAACAAGCCTTAAATACACCCGAGATTAACCCTCAAACCTCAAATAAACCCTCAACCCCCTAAACCCTAAACCCTAAACCACATGCCCACAAAGACTTGCACTGGTGGCTTATGGCTCTCGCCTTCTCACTTCTGGAAGGGAATCTTCGATTTCAAGGCGCCCGGCAAGTCATCTTTGGTTTAGGGTTTAGGGTTTAGGGTTTAGGGTTTGGGGTTTGGGGTTTAGGGTTTAGGGTTTAGGGCTTAGGGTTTGGGGTTTAGGGTTTAGGGTTGTCTTTTTGTGAGCAACTCCCAGATCGGCACAGAGCCGCGCTATTCGCTCAGCCTCAATCACGCTTTGCCTGTACCGCTGCACTGATATCGCCCTAAATCCCTAAACCCTAAACCCTAAACCCTAAACCCTAAACCCTAAACCCTGAACCCTAAACCCTAAACCCCCATCATGGTGGCGACAAGGCACTTCTGCGCCACAACTGCCCTCCACAGATCAAGACCCTAGACCCTCCCACTTCGCCCTCCCCTCCCCACCCCCCCACCCCCCCCCACCCTCGACCCTCAACCCTCAACCCTCAACCCTAAACCCTAAACCCTAAACCCGAAACCCTAAACCCTAAACCCTAAGCCTAGAACAAACCCTGAACCCCTACAAGACCTAGGGGTTAGGGTCCTATCCCTGGGTGTAGTCCCTCAACTTCGAACCCTAGAACCCTGAAATCCTAAGTCCCTCAACCCACAAGCCCCGAATCCGAAAGCCCCAAGCCCCAAAAGCCCTAAACCTTCAACCCCAGACGGTTAAACAGAAAAGCTAGTAAATAATAACAATAATCAAAATCATAATCATAACAATAATGATAATAATAAGAAGAAGAATAGTGACAATAACAATGGTAATAAGAGCAATAATAGTAATTATAGCAATAATATGAATATTAATCATAACAATAACGAAGATAACAGAGGGCCTAAGATCTAGTGGGATCCCATAGCCATAGGCAGCTGGTCACCCGGCCTGGACCACCTGCCGTGGCAAGTGCGGCGGCACATGGTTCGTATTTAGGTATTTGGGGCTTTGGGGCTGCAAATTTCAGGGTTTAAGGCTCAGAGTTTAGGGTTTAGGGTGGCACGGCTTGGGGTATTTCAAGAAACCCATTGTGTCACCGTAGTGACTCCATACTGACGGGGGCGGACCGCCGCGCGTGCGTAGTCTGCCACAAGTGAATGTCAGCCACTAGGAAAGTTCGTAAATCATGAACGTGCAGGAAATACTCCCCATTCAAGCTAGTAGGCTCTCTTAAACTGCATACTTGGCGGTTCAGGGTACTCATAACCCCAATTATAAGGGTACTTACGAGTCTCTAGGTCCCCTAAGCAGACTTTAATTGAGTTAAAAGAAACCCTAATTGGCAATGAATTGGGGTTGCAAGTGCCCATGAACCTCCAAGCAGCTTTGAGAGCCTACACCCCAAATCCTAAGTTAGGGTTTAGGGTTTAGGGTTTAGGGTTTAGGGTTTAGGGTTTAGGGTTTAGGGTTTAGGGTTTAGGGTTCAGGGTTCAGGGTTCAGCGTTTAGGGTCTAGGGTTTAGGGTTTAGGGTTTAGGGTTTAGGGTTTAGGGTTTAGGGTTTAGGGTTTAGGGTTTAGGGTTTAGGGTTTAGGGTTTAGGGTTCAGGGTTTAGGGTTTAGGGTTTAGGGTTTAGGGTTTAGGGTTTAGGGTTTAGGGTTTAGGGTTAATTTTTGGGTTCCCTAAGCCCTGAACCCTTAAACCCTGCAACCTCCCCGAGTGCCAAATTTCTGCACCTTGCCAGACCGGATCAGATGCTCCACGTCCGAGCGGTTCACCACCAGCTGGGTGCCTTGACCTTTGGGCTTCAAGGGGTTTAGGGTTTAGGGTTTAGGGTTTAGGGTTTAGGGTTTAGGGTTTAGAGTTTAGAGTTTAGGGTTTAGGGTTTAGGGATTAGGGTTTAGGGTTTAGGGATGTTGGGATGTAGGGCTTCGGGTTAGGGCAACCTTTTTGGGTCAAAGGGGCGAATTTATCAAAATAAAATAAAACGAAGGAGTAAGGGCCTCAAGGGATTCAGGTGCCGAAGATTTAGGGGTTAAGGTTGGATTGTTTAGGGTTGAGGGTTTAACCCTAGGGTTTAGGGTTTAGGGCTTAGGGCTTAGGGTTTAGGGTTTAGGGATTAGGGATTAGGGTTTAGGGTTTAGGGTTTAGGGTTTAAGCTTGAGGGTATAGGGTTTGGGCTTTGAGGTCGAGGGTACAGGGTTTAGGTTTGAAGGGTGAGGGTATAGTACTCTGGGTTTAGCATTTAGGATTGTTCTAGGGAGCCTAGCTAATGACATCACAGCGCCCTAGAAAACTCTCAAGTCTAACCCTGACTAAAAGCAAGCAAAACAAGCCCCTATAAAGCCCATAAATCCATCCTACCATGTCCGAAGACTCATGTATCTCAACCCCTGAACCACACAAACCCTGAACGCCATAAACAGCCCCGAAGCCGTAACCTCATGTCTAAACATATAAGCACCACACACTTTAAACCCAAAGCCACACAAGCCCTGACCCCGAAACCCTGAACACTAAGCCCAGGGCGCCCCGAACGGGGCGCCCTAACAAATGCCCAAAGCCGACATGGGCGACGGCCTCAGCAAACTCTACTACAGCCCACCTTGCAGTTGCCCAACTTCAAGGTTTTAGGGGTTTAGGGGCTACGTAGTAAGATGGGTGGGCTCCAAACTAGCAACCTTCTTACAATAGAGCCCCAAGCCGTGAACCAAGCCCTAGACCCGAAACCCTAAACCCCAGACCCCAAACCCTAAACCCTGAACCCTAAACCCTAAACCCCAAACCCTAAACCCTAAACCCTAAACCCTTGACCATCCCTTGAGGCCCCGGGCGGAGGCGAAGCGGCCCGCTGTCCACGCTTTGGATGCACTCCAGGGAAGGGTCGTGATGCAGCACCCGGATCTGGTTTAGGGTTTAGGGTTTAGGATTTAGGGTTTAGGGTTTAGGGTTTATTGCAATTAATAAGGGTTCAGGTCCGGGGAGGTTTCGGGGAGTTTCGAGGAAAGTTTCGTTTTTTGAATAATTTCAAGTTACGGGGGTTTTGAGGGTTTAGGGTTTAGGGTGGGCGTTTGTAAAGGGCTTAGGGTAAACGGTGAAGAGGAAAGCTCAGGGAAATTAGTAGGGTTTTGGGTTCAGGGCTCTTCGGGTTCAGGGCCTTAGGGGGCTTTAGGGCTTCGGGCTCGGGGAACTTGGTCGGTAGGTTCTTAGTAACCCTACACCCCAAACGGGTTGTAAACCCCCACGCTTTAGATCGATTCTTCCGTTCTAGGGTTGTCGTTTTGCAGGGTTTGGTGGAGCAGCCTACAAATTCATGCCTCTTTAACAGGCATTTTCGTTGATTTGTAGTACAAGCTTAGTGCTGGAAGTGCCGTGCCCGTGAGCTGGCTGGAGTTCATTGCTTTATAGTACAAGCTCAGTACTGGAATACCCGATGCAGCAATCAGGGGCCATATGATAAAGTTCTCGTTGTTTTCTCGGTTATCGTTTTCCGAGTCAGAAGCACTTCAAACGCTTCGGGTAACTCCTTTCATAAATCATAGGTTTCGGCAAAGGGTCACTTAAATTGTTTCGGGTTCAGGCTTTCTTGTTTAAGGGTTTAGGGTTTAGGGTTTAGGGTTTAGGGTTTAGGGTTTAGGGTTTAGGGTTTAGGGCCCCAGGCTCTCAAGGTGCAGCGTGGACATCCGTGTTTTGGGAAGCCAAGGGCTGCTTGTAGATCCTCCAACCCCCTAAACCCTGAACCCTGAACCCTGAACCCTAAACCCTAAACCCTAAACCCTAAACCCTAAACCCTAAACCCTAAACCCTAAACCCTAAACCCCCGAACCTCCTGAACCCCCTAAAACCTCACAGACCTCACAAGCCCCACAACACCTCATAAGCCCCATGCAAACCCCATAAGCCCCCGCCAAAAGCCCCGACAAACCCACAGTTGCTGGGGCCAAGGCCTTCACGTGCAACTCCTCGGGCGCCTCCCAACGGAGACTTTGGCGGGCAGGGAGCTTCGTGGTCCAGAATTTAAGGTATTGTTTTGGGGGTCTAAAAAGGTTTTGGGCCTTTCGGGTTTAAGGCTTTAGGGTGTACAAGGTCTTGGGGCTTTTGGGATTTAAGGTTTTAGAGCTTTTGGGATCCAAGGTTTAGAGGTTCAGGCATCAAGGTTGTAGGGCTTTAATGCAACAAGGTTTCTAGGGCTTTAGGACGTGAGGGTTCAATTCTCAGGTCTTGTCGTTGGGTCACCGAGGGCCGAAGTAGGCTACTGTTTAGGGTTTAGGGTTGAGGGTTTAGGGTTTAGGGTTTAGGGTTTAGGGTTTAGGGTTTAGGGTTTAGGGTTTAGGGTACAGCCATCCCACCCGGAACACTTCGCAGGCGTGTAGGGCTAAGGGCTTCCGGCAGGTCTGCAACCCAACCTTTCTCAAGATTTCTGGGGACAAAAGAGTAACCTGGGTATAACAAGGGTGCCCTTTCTCGGGTTAAGGAGCTTATCAGGGAACCTAAGCCCTAAACTAGGAACTCCCCTCACCTACGTGCTAGCAGCTTTTTTTCAGCACGCTGGCTCACTGTCCGCACAGATCGTCCACAAACTTCTCCACGTTCGCAGAGAGGTGTTCTCGCACTGCCTTGCGAGAAAAACGTTGGGGGTGATCAGCATCATAAAGGGCCTAAGGTTTAGGGTGTAGGAATTAGGGCTTGAGTTTAAAGGGCGCGACCTAAACCTTAGACTCCCGTTGGTGTAGGAGTTCGCAAGGCCTGAGAGACCCAGGAGCACTAGAAGCTTAGTTCAGGTCAGGGCTGTCGGCTCAGAAAACTTGGCAACTAGGATGAGTACCCGAAGTGGGGGTTCTCCGAATCATGACCTACGCCTTGACATCGTGACCCAAAACCCTGCGGACCCTTCGCCCCGCTCGAAGGACAATCAAGCTCCCGAACTTCGACGACATGCCCCTGGTCTGGCAGCTCCCTCAACCCTAAACCCTAAACCCTAGACCCTAGACCCTAAACCCTAAACCCTAAACCCTAAACCCTAGGGAGGGCTTCAGGGTTTCCCGGCAAGAAGGTCGAAGAGGCGCCGTGGAGCTGAAAACCCGGGTGCCCTTCTGCTTGGAGGTTCATGGTACTTATTCACCAAGTATATAGGGGAGAGGATTAGGGGGACCCTTGGGGATATAGTCCCTCTGAATAAGGTCCCTGTTTAAGAGAGCCAGAAGAGGGTTAAAATGGGGTTCCCTTTGAAGGGTCCCCCTTATCCTATTTAGGACTTATAACCCTCAAGTGCCTTCATATGGTAGTAAGTACAGGTATAAGTACAGTTATAATTGGTTAAGAAGTGAACCTCACGTGTGCCCCTGAGAGAAGAGGGGGGGGGGCGCGGCCTTCCGGTACTTGCACAAGTGGTTCTCGGCAAAGAGTCTGCGCTGGTTGTCCTCTTTCCGTTTCCGGTGCCGCGGCGTTTTCCGAAATTTCCCCAAAGCCCCGTACACTAGTTCATGGTCGGGGTAGCACTAAAAACTCAAATGTCTATTCCTTATTGAGTTTTTTAAGTACCCAGAAAATGCAAAATGTTACCCCGCTATGACAGAGTACACCTTTAAAACCTTAAACCAGAAAGGCTTCGTGCCAAGAAAGGCTGCCCCCGGCCCAAAAGCCACAAAACCGTCACATAAGACCACACCTTAAGCATTCTTGAACCCCCTATAGGGGTTTAGGGTTTAGGCTTTAGGGCTTTAGGGTTTAGCCTTTATCCCAAATGTAGGGCTTTCCGGAAAGCCCAAAGTGCAGAGGCCAGCTCAGCCATTGGGAAGGTGCCTGAATAAAAGCAAGAACACCCCCCCTTGCTCCACGGTTTGAGGGGGATGTCGTTCGGGTCGGGGGTGGGGCTACTAAGCTATGCAAGTGCGCAAGAGGGAGAAGAAAAGGCGCACTCTCTGCGTGCGCACACTGATGCACACCGTAAACCCTAAACTCTAAACCCTAAACCCTAACCCTAGACCCTAAACCCTAAACCCTAAACCCTAAACCCTAAACCCTAAACCCTAAACACAACTAACAAATGGTCCTCGAAGCTGAGAGTCAACAGGAAGCAGGATGTCCTCGGCTTACGGCTTTGGGGTTTCCAGGCTTTTGGGGTCTAGGGTGTTGGGGTTTAGGGTTTAGGGTTTAGGGTTCAGGGTTCAAGGTTCAGGGTTCAGGGTTGAGGGTTTAGGGTTTAGAGGGTTTTTAGGGTTTTTAGGGCTTCAGGGTTTAGGGCAGGGCGATCCGGCGTTTCTAGATGCTCTCCCCCAGCCGCTAGCGCTTCGAGCTTGGCGAATCTGAGGATCCGAAACCACAGGGCGATTTCAGTAGGTTTTGGGAGGAGGGGGGGGTTTATTCCAGCGCATTTCTATAGGGGCCATATACTAGTAGTAGTTATTCCGACACCTCTATTGCCTCAAAACCCCATCATGAGAGCCTTGATAGTCATGACCGTCATCGCCTTCACCAGAGTCATCGGAGTCGTACTTCTCCTACGCATAAGAGCCGTAACCACAAAAACTGCCATAATAAATGGCCGGCGAATGGAAGATCATGTACTCCCTGTAGATGCCATAGTACAAGGGCTATACTCAAAGTTTTCTTGGGCTCTATGTCCCTAAACCCTAAACCCTAAACCCTAAACAGCTGAACCATAAACTCTATAACTTCTATAACTCCCAAGGAAACCACAGGACCGGGGCTCTTTGACGTGCCCTCCCCGTCTGCAGCACCGGGATCGAAGGCCGAGGCCTTTCGGGGGTTTTGGGAGGGCCCTAAACCCTAAACCCTAAACCCTAAACCCTAAACCCTAAACCCTAAACCCTAAACCCTAGACCTGTTTGGGAAACGTTTTGAAGGTCGTGTGGGGAAGTTTGGAGGGAAGAGGGGGGGGGGGGGGGGGGGGGGACATTCAGAGATGTTTGCGATTTTTTGGGGCGGGTTCACGGTGGGCTTTGGGCTTTAGGGTGTTTAGGATTGTGTCGGGCTGCTTAGGCTTGGGGTTGCTTTGGGTCTAGAGTTCGGGCGCTTGGGGTGTTAACTTAGCTTAGTTAGATGTGTTCGGAGAACGGGTTTAGGGTTTGGGGTATTAGGTATCTCACGCCGCAGGGCTTGAAGCTCAATACCCAGGTCAACCCACAAAAACCCAAAATCCCAAATCCTCAACCCCCAAATCCCGGAGCCCGAAGCCAGCCCCGAGTTACACCCCTGAATCCCGGAAACCCAAACTTCGGCCTCAAAAATCTGTCGCCACCTAAACCCTAAACCCTCAACCCTCAGCCCTAAACCTTAAACCCTAAACCCTGAACCCTAAAACTCTAAAATCCTAAAACCCTAAAACCCTAAAACCCGAAAACCCTAAAACCCGAAAACCCTAAACCCCTAAAACCCGAAAACCCTAAAACCCTAAACCCCTAAAACCCTAAACCCCGGCCTCTCCCGGGCAGGCGGCTCCCTGCGCAAGACGAAGCGTCAGGCGCAGCATGCGGTGGTCGGTTCTGTCCACCTCCCCAGGTGAGGGTTCTTAAGGGAGAGTTTTTTAGGGTTTAGGGTTTAGGGTTTAGGGTTGAGGGTTGAGGGTTGAGGGTTGAGGGTTGAGGGTTGAGGGTTGAGGGTTGAGGGTTTAGGGTTGAGAGTTTAGGGTTTAGGGTTTAGGGTTTAGGGTTTAGGGTTTAGGGTTTAGGGTTTAGGGTTTAGGGTTTAGAGTTTAGGGTTTAGGGTTTAGGGTTTGATCGGGCTCTTAAGGGAGGGGGCCCAAGCTTCCCTAATACTCTACCCTCCCCCCCCATGAACCCCCCCCTCCCTTAAGAACCCCATGTCTTTTCGATTCATCATTCAAATCTTCATGACGGTGTGTGTATCTCCGTAAATAGGTAGGTATTGCAATGTGTATGTATCTGTCTGTTTATTGTTTACACTCACGGATTATCTACTTAGATAGATATCCATCTTCTCAATCAAGCTTCTCGCACGCTACGAATCGGCCCCAGACGCCAGGCAATGTCCAGAACCCCAAAATTCCCCAAACCTCACCACCCTTTCTAAGCCCAACACCCGGAACCCTCAACCCTAAATCCTAAGCCCCAAAACCTAAACCCGAAAACCTAAATTCAAAAGCTGAACCCGAAAACCTGAACCCTAACACCTAAACCCTACGACCGAAACCCCAAAACCTAAACCCCAACCCGAAATCTTAAATCCATAGGCTCTTGTCTCTGAGAAATCAGCCGGAGTCCATTGAGCTTCGACCCCCGAATCAAAACTCTATACATCTCGCCGCCTATGCCCCCCAAGCTCTCTCTCTAACACTCTCTCTCTCTCTCTCTCTTTCTCTCTCTCTCTCTCTCAACAGCCCAGCCATACACCCCTTACATCCCTCCCTAAGCCCAAAACCCTAAAACCCTGAACCTCTCTCGAAACTCCAAACCCCAGAGCCCTAAACCTCGCGAAATCCTAAACTCTGACAACCACACCAATACATGCCCATAGCCTGCAGGTGGTTTAGGATTTGGGGCTTCGGGTTTTGGGGTTTGGGGGTTGAGGGTTCAGGAGGATTCTGGGTTTGGGTTTTGGTTTGGGGTTTGAGGCTGAGGGTTTGGGGTTTGGAAGCAGAGCTGCAAGTACCCGGAGTTGGGGGAGGTCCTATAGCAAGCTCCCTAACCCCTAAGCCTTACTTAGCCCCAAACACCTCAAGCCCTGCCTGGGTCCCTCATCCTTTTGCCAGGGTGGGTTTAGGGTTTAGGGTTTAGGGTTGAGGGTTTAGGGTTCAGGGTTTAGGGTTTATGGTTTCGGGCTTAATTAGGGTTTAGGGATTAGGGTTCAGGGTTTAGGTGGATTGGGGTTTCGGGTTGGAAAAGCCTGCCTGGGCGTCGACGTACCGGAGTGGCACCAAGGTGCGAGCCACGGCCCAGCCAGGCTGCACCAGGTCCTGATTAGGGTTTAGAGTTTAGGGTTTAGGGTTTAGGGTTTAGGGCTTCGTGGTTCAGGGTTTCGTAGTTTAGGGCTTATATAGTGGCGACGGGTCGGGGTCTAGGGTCTTCCACTTTCCGCAGACGCCATTTTGGAGTTTAGGGCTTGGGGTTTGCCATGTGGATTCTTGAGCCCTGCAATTACAACTCAGGACCGCAATCCCCTGTCCGGCTGCACAAGAAGCAGCAGATGCTGGTGCAACACCAGGTACCTGGCCGCGAGATCCGGGATAAAATGAGTTCCTGCGAGATAAAGGGGATATGTGCTCTATTAGATATGGTGAACAATACTTTCCTACCAAGGGGGAAGTGCTGTTCTGCTGAGTTTCTTGGGGGATGACGATTTTCCCACGTTCAGAAGTCGTGCAGCACCCGATACCTGGCACACGTCTGGAGACGCGACACGATACATCTTCATCTGTGTGGAATGATGTACTTATATGCGTGCTTCTCGGTTCAAAGCATTTCATGTATGATAGATGAAACGAAGCACGAAACAACGCCCCTTCACGCCAGCTCGTCAGCAACCGTCAGCAACAAGAATTCATAGACTGTCTTTCGAAGCTGAACAAATCTCGGGGCTCCTTCTTGACAGCAGCGACCCGTGACTTTGACCCCCAACCTTATCCCAAAACATGCACCCGAATGGGCCGAACCGCCACCAAAGGCAGACTAGTTATGCCCCAAGCATCATAAACCTGGGCAGTCGCTCCATTTTCTGGGGTAAAGTGCTTCAAACTGAGCCCCAAGAATCATGGCTCCTTACACGAACAGTCCTCAATAGGGATTATACTAGGGGGTACAATAGCGCACAAGCCCCAGGCCTGGTGTGGCGGCCCTCGGGTGTCACGACGCCGCAGACGATGCGATCCATGCGCCCGAGCTCAAAAGCCTGCCGGTTGGTGGTGTGGAGGCCCAAAAAGTTGGCCCCCCAAATCTGTTGAACCCTCTCCCAAAATGCGCACAAAGCCCAGAAGTCCTTGCGGAAGGAATGGGGGAGCTTGAACGATTCCACCCGTGAGTAGGGTTTAGGGTTTAGGGTTTAGGGTTTAGGGTTTAGGGTTTAGGGTTTAGGGTTTAGGGTTTAGGGTTTAGGGTTTAGGGTTTAGGGTTTAGGGTTTAGGGTTTAGGGTTTAGGGTTTAGGGTTTAGGGTTTAGGGTTTAGGGTTTAGGGTTTAGGGTTTAGGGTTTAGGGTTTAGGGTTTAGGGTTTAGGGTTTAGGGTTTAGGGTTTAGGGTTTAGGGTTTAGGGTTTAGGGTTTAGGGTTAGGGTTTCAGGTTAGGGCTTAAAGTGTTTAGACCCTATGACAGTCTATGACATGGTCCCTTTATATGGGCCCTTAGAAGGGGAACCCCTTCGAAAACCCCAATCAACCCCAAGCGCCCCATACATCAGAGCCCTTTAAAGAAGTAAGGGACCATATGAAGTAGGGTATATATTTCTTGTACCCCCAAAAGGACACCAGGTATATACACTCACCAATATTAAAAAGGAACCTTATATACACTCACCAAAAACAGAAAAATATACCCGGCTTCATATCAAGGGACGGTGTGGACACCTTCGAACACGACCGTGCGACAAACCCTCTGAAAACTCAGCGCAACTACCCCCAGGGACGCTCCCCTCGCTCTCTCTCCCTCCCCCTCCCTCCCCTAAGCACTACTTCCTAAATTCTATTGAAACCCTAAAGCCCTGAACGAGAGAAGACAGGCCTTGCCCTCGGTGCATCCGTTGAAGTCCTGCTGGCTGAGTGTCTCAGGTTTTAAGTTTAGGGTCTAGGGTTTGGGGTTCTAGATTTTGGGAGTTTAGGGTTTAGGGTTAGGTGCTTAGGGGTTTAGAGTTTAAGGTGCAGGGTAGGTGTTTGGGGAGTAAACCTTAAACCCCAAGCCTTAAGGCGCCTAAACCTTCGGGGTTTGGGAGTTTGGGGTTGAGGGTCTCGAAGTTGGTGTCAGGCGCAGAGCTGGGCATTTAGGGTTTCAGGTTGAGGAATATAGGGTTCGGAGCCTAAACCTTAACCCAAACCCCAACACTAAACGCTGGGGGGTTTGGAGCGAGGCGCTCGTTCAGTTGTCTTGTGAAGCACTCACACTTTTTCAGGCTTGGCAAAAATAGCCTCAATTTCACATTCGGCATCGTCTGAAGAGAGAGGTCCTAGCACGGCCGAAAATTAACCCCGCTCGAACATCCCAGAAAATACCCTAAACTCTAAAACCCTAAACCCCTAACCCTTAAACCCCTAAACCCCCTATAAACACTATAATCCCTAAACCCCCCATAAACCCTAAACCCCAAACTCTAAACCCCTAAGCCCTAAACCCCAAACCCCTGAACCCCAGGGGCCTAAGCCCCCAACAAGTAGGACCCTACATTCTGCACCTCCTCTGCCAGCCACAGCGGCGAGGGCGCCTGGACTTGTGAGGATTGGGACTCGGCCCTTCGGGTTTAGGGCTTGGGGTTTGGGGTTTCGGGTGTGGGGTTTAGGGTTTGGGGTTAAGGGCTTGGGGTTTAGGGTTTAGGGTTTAGGGTTTGGGGTTTAGGGTTTAGGGTTTAGGGTTTAGGGTTTAGGGTTTAGGGTTTAGGGTTTAGGGTTTAGGGTTTAGGGTTTAGGGTTTAGGGTTTAGGGTTGGGGGTTTAGGGTTTGGGGTTAAGGGTTTAGGGTTTGGGGTTGAGGGTTTGGGGTTTGGGGTTTAAGGATTCAGTTTTTGGATTCCGGGCTTTGTGCTCCAGGTTTTTGGTTACAGGCGTAGCGTGTAAGATTTCACAAATAGAACGGGTCGAGTGTGTAATTAGGGTTGAAGGTGCCTGACACCCCCCAACATCCTGAAATCTTGAGCCCTTCACATCCCTTACATCCCCTAAACCTGGTAAAGCCACGAAACACCTAAACAACTAAACTCACACCCCTCCCGCCCTCTGTTGGGGCAGTCAGGCGCCGTCGAGAAGCCCTAAACCCGAAATCGCCGAGATCCCCGAAAGCGCCTAAACCCAAAACTTTAAACCCCTACCCCCGCCCCCCCCTCCCACCCCCCCCGAAGCCCTCTAAATCCCCCAAACCCCTAAACCCCCAAAATCCTCCAGGCCTATAAACCCTAAAACCCCCTAAACCACCCCAAAACCCCCTGAACCCCCAAATCCCCTAAACCCGAAACCCCAAAGCCTAAAATCTCAACCCTACAAACCCCCAAACCCCAAACCCTAAACCCTAAACTGTAAACCCTAAACCCTAAACCCCAAAACCTACACCCCAAACCCGAAACCCCAAACCCTAAGCCCTGAACCCTAAACCCTAAACCCGAAACCCTCAACCCTAAACCCCAAACCCTCAACCCCCGGCCTCGGTCGCCGGGGCCGGAACGAGGGCCGAGCCGAGCATGCCGGCCCCGCGGCCCTTACGGATTCTTGCATGGGGGGGGAAATGACTAGGGTTCAGGGTTTAGGGTTTAGGGTTTAGGGTTTAGGGTTTAGGGTTTCGGGTTTGGGGTTTAGGGTTTAGGGTTTAGGGTTTAGAGTTTAGGATTTAGGGTCTCGGGTTCATTGGTTTACGGAATTTCTTAGGGGCTTTGGAGCACCAAATGGGGCGAGCGGGGGTGCACAAGTGTCAAGAACGCTTTCCTCCAGCTGGAGTAATCACTGTGCCTTGTCCACCGGCTGGGTGTAATGAAAGGTGCGTCCTATGAACGCATTCGGCGCGTCCTCGTCGTGGTTCCAGTACAGGTGCAAGCTTGCACGACAGCGGGGGGTTGGGGCCCATTTGCAAACACAATGCTCGCATCATGGGCTTCAGAAAACGCGTGTGCTTTGAAGCAAACTTGCACGACTTAAAACAGCGGGGGGGTTAGGGGGAGACGCAGGCCCCCCCTCCCTATGCAAACACCATGCTCGCATCATGGGTTTCGAAAAGGCGCGTATGCTTTGAAGCAGGCCTGCACGACTGCGGGGGGGGAGTCGGGGAGGGGGGGGGGGGGGGGGGGCGCAGCCCCCATTTTTATCTATAGCAACGTGTATACTATATATTTTTTCCGATGCTACATACACTAAATTTTTACACACTGTATGTATCGTATATATATATATATACATATACACATGTATGTATTATATATATATATACTATCTCTATACCAAAATATGTAGTGTATATATAAATGCACATTGTCAGTATTGTAGAAAAATGCCAGGAAGCCAGCCGATGCAGCCGATGGGGCCAGAAACCCAAAAAAGCCATGAAGCCAGAAATCCAAGAAGCCAGGAAGCCACAAAGCCAAAAAGCCACGAAGCCAGGAAGCCGAGAGGCAAAAGCCACGAAGCCAGGAAGCCGAGAAGCCAAAAAGCCAAGAAGCCAGGAAAAAGCCAAGAAGCCAGGAAGCCACGAAGCCAGGAAGCCGAGAAGCCAAGAAGCCGGGAACCAGAAGCAGAAGAACCGTAGCCGACAGCCAGAAAATAGCTGTTTTCTTAAAAAGAAAATAAAGACAATAGATGTTTTCCTATTCAAAAACACAGAAAAAATTGAGGTTTAGTCTAGTGAGGTTTTTGCTATTAAAATATAGAGAAAATCCAAGTTTTCCTATGAAAATGGAGAAAATTGAGGTTTTCCTCTAAAAAAATATAGAGAAAATTGAGAATTTCCTATGAAAATAGAGAAAATTGAGGGTTTCCTCGTAAAATACAGAGAAAGTTGAGGATTTCCTAGCACTAAATAAAAACTCCCAAAAAAAGAAAAATGAATTCCCAAAAAGAATGCACCTCCAAATGGGTCGATCACTCACGTCAAGGGCTTGAGCTGACGCCGAGTGGCCTCTACGTCTGGGGCGCCGGGCGCAGGCCCAAATTGGTTGACGATCTCTGACATCGTTGTCCCCAATGTCATAACACTGTGCTCTGAAGGGGCTGCTTGGCGATCTTGGAGCTCAGGCGCCGAGCCTAGGGCCTGGGTCTGAAGAGTCGAGGGATCTGGGGTTGCAACATGAGGACCCCATACTTCTTTTGATACACAAATTTCCTGTCTCCAAACGCAGGCGGGCTTCTTCAAGGTTTTCCTTCTTCAGCTCGATTCGTGGAGGCTTCGGCATCGCACGGAGGAGGGGCTTAGGAGCAGTGGAGTTCAGCGTGTCAGGTACTGTCTTAGCATGACCCCAATCAAGCTGCAGGATCTGCAGGTGTCACGGCTCTTCTACTTGATCACCAGGAGTTGGCTTACCGTCTTCAGCTCCAGGTAGCCCTGGTGTTCCAGTCTGACCATCATCCTGATTCCCCTGCACTTTCACGAGTTCTGCTGGATCAGCACCTCCGCGCTCGTGATCTCCAGGTCCAGAATCATCTTCCACAAATTGAACCACTTTTGCCACAACAGTTGTTCCGGTGTCGACTTCCAGATCAACCTCCATTGGTGGTCCTTCTTTGGAAGTACTCTCCGCTTTGGAGGCTTCCAAATTTTCTTCCACAACAGGCATGCTTTCTTCTGTTGCAGGTTCCTCCAAGCCATCATCTTTTCCAGGAGGATTTTCCACAGCTGCCCCTTTGGCTCCGGTGTGGACTAAATTTTGCTTCTCCTCTGGCTCCACGGTTGCCGATGAAGAAACACCACCACCATTTTGAATCACAGCTGCCTCTTTGGCTTCGGTGCGATTCTCACTGTTTTGCTCCTCGCCACCAACTTCAGACTGGGCCGGCGCATCCACCTGCACGTCTCCATCACTGGTAACCTCAACCCTCTGCGCTCCATTGTTGCAGTCAGTTGCGGAGTCTTTTTCTTGCTGTGCCCCAACCCGCATCTCATAAGTGCTCCAGGTTACTTCAGGCACATTGGCCCGTGCCTCATTGGCACTCCAGGCCTTTGCCTCAACCACCGCATCAGTGGGGCAGTGAGATTCTTCTGATGCAGCGGCGGGGGCGGCCGCCACCGGACGGATAAACCTTTTCCGGCGACGAATCCGACGATGTGCTGCTGTCGGTGGCGTCGCTGCTGTCGCTGGCGTTTCGGAATTTAGGGTTTAGGGTTTAGGGTTTAGGGTCTAGGGTTGTTTGGGGAAACTGGGGCTTAGGGCTGAGGCTTTGAGTTCGGAAATAGGGTTCAGGGTTTGGGAGAAGTAGTAGCATTGGGGTTGAGTTAGAGTTTTGGGGTTTGGGGGAATTAGGGTGTGGGGTTTCGGGTTTGGGGAATTGGGGTTTAGGGGTTTTGGAGTTTTGGGGTTGGGGAAATGAGGGTTTCGGGCTTCGGGTTTGCGAAATTCGGGATTAGGGCTTTGATGTTTGGGGTTGGGAAACTCGGGTTTGGGGCTTGAGCGGTTTAGCTCTAAACCCTGAACCCTAAATCCTAGACCCTAAACAAAGCCGGCGGGATGAGGGATGAGGGGTTTAGGCTGAGGCTTGAGCGTTTGGGGGATTAGGGTGTAGGGTTTAGGGTTTAGGGTTTAGGGTTTAGGGTTTAGGGTTTAGGGTTTAGGGTTTAGGGTTTAGGGTTTAGGGTTTAGGGTTTAGGGTTTAGGGTTTAGGGTTTAGGGGTCCTGAACGCGGTCCCGAATGGCAGCGCCAGGGGATCCACGGGTTCGTTGGAGGGCGGGCGTGGTTTTGGGTTTGGGGCTGAGTGTTTGGCGGTGAAGGGGTGAGGGGGGGGGGGGGGGTAAGGGTTGAGGCATTGAGAGGGCAATAGGGTTGAAGGGTTGGGTGTTGGTTCCTTGGGGGTGGGGTGGGGGGGGGTTGAGGGCACACACCAAAAACCCTCCGAAACAAAAACTGAGCCCTAAACCCTCTTGAACCTCCGAAATGCTAAACTGCCGCAACCCCTGTTTCGGGTGTAGGGTGTAGGGTTTAGGGCTTCGGATTCCAACCCTAAACCCTAAACCCCTAAACCCCTAAACCCCTAAACCCCTAAACCCCTAAACCCCTAAACCCCTAAACCCCTAAACCCCTAAACCCCTAAACCCTAAACCCTAAACCCTGAACCCTAAACCCCGAACCCCCTAAACCCGAAGGCAAGAGGCAGCTGCAGGCGGCGGCACACCTGGGGCAGCCAGCAGCCGGGGGTTTAGGGTTTAGGGTTTAGGGTTTAGGGTTTAGGGTTTAGGGTTTAGGGTTTAGGGTTTAGGGTTTGGGGTTTAGGGTTTAGGGTTTAGGGTTCAGGGACCCTTTTTGAAGATCCCCATTAGGAGTATACCAAGGGAAACCTTTAGGATTACAACCCTAAACCGCAAACCCTCAACCCTCAACCCTCAACCCTCAACCCTGAACCCTGAACCCTGAACCCTGAACCCTGAACCCTGAACCCTGAGGGGTACGAGCCTTGATCCCTTGAGTTGAGGGGTCTTGGGCTTTTGGGAGAGTTTAGGTCTGAGGCGGGTTTGGGGGCTTTTGGGCTGCATCGGGTTAGGGTTTAGGATTTAGGGCTCAGCGCCTCGGGTCAGAGGTTTTAGGGGTTAGGGTTTAGGGTCATCTTAGGGTTTAAGGTTTAGGTGTTGAGGGATAGGGTTTCGGGGCGTGGGACATTTTTGCTCACATGGCTCATGGTTTTACAGGGCCTCGGGTTCAACCCTAAACCGCATCTCATAGGCCTTCTTGGCTAAGCAAGCGACTGTTACGCGGGTTATCGAGTAGGATAACCCCAAGTAGGGTCCCACTTTTCAGGGTACATGAACCCTAAACCCTGAACCCGAAACCCTAAACCCTAAACCCTAGCCCGAAACCCTAAATACCCTACCTGCTTGCTGCGCCCCCCCGATCCCCCAAGCTGAACAGAGCGGACACGGAACGCTTCTGCGGCGAGACTTGCTCTGGCGGGTCCTGGCCACGAGAACATTGTGAACAAATTTCTTCCACTCCGTGGGCACCTAGGGGTTAAGGGTTTAGGATTTAGGATTTAGGGTTTAGGGTGTAGGGTTTAGGGCAACTCCGCGAAGACGAATGCCGGAACTTCTGTCAGAGCCTCTGCCTAGGCCGTCAGGACACTAGGAGAATCCCTCTTTTGTGGAAAGCTCAGTACATCTTGAAGTGCTCGTATGCAGAATTCCTTTAATGCTCAGATCTCCTGGGCTCGGAAGCCCCGAAATTTCGTGGTAACCCTCGAAAAGTTCACCCGAACCAAAAGCCCAGAGCCCTGTCTACGGGAGGATACATTCCCTTCATGACTGTAGGGTCGTATATCGAGGCATATGGGGGTTTAGGGTTTAGGGTTTAGGGTTTAGGGTTTAGGGTTTAGGGTTTAGGGTTTAGGGTTTAGGGTTTAGGGTTTAGGGTTTAGGGTTTAGGGTTTAGGGATTAGGGTTTACGATCTTGGGGATACCTTATTGGGGTCGGAAGGGATCCTGCTACTTGGGGCTATATATGAGGGTCCCTTACTATCGTACACCCCCACAGAAGGGGTCCCCCTTTAATGGCACA